TGTGCACAGGCCCCTCCCCCCTCTACCTGTGCACCTGCCCCTCCCCTCTCTCCCTGTGCACAGGCCCCTCCTCCCAGCCAGTCCTCTGTGCACAGGCTCTCTGTCCTGAATGGAAGGTGGCATGGTGCTGGCAGCTCAGTTACCCAGCATGCCACGGGGACTTTGCACTGCAGAGAGGCTATGCCTGCTGATGGGATGCCCCTTTGTCCCACACAGGGGTACGGGTGTTCCACTCCAGCCCCGCTGCCAGCAGCCTGGACTTCATTGGCGGGCCTGCCATCCTCCTGGGCCTCATTTCCTTAGCAACAGATGACCACACCATGTACGCAGCTGTGAAAGTTCTGCACTTGGTCCTGACCAGCAATGTCATGTGTGACCGCCTGATGCAGCACATCTTTGGGTACCAGGTAATCTCACCCCCACCTGCGTCTCTGACTCCCTGAGGGGGGACAGTCCCTCCACAGTGACTCTGGAGAAGGGGAGCCTAGAGCCTCGGGTCTGGAGACTCTGGCCCCCAGCAGAGGCCAGGTCACAGCGGCCAGGGAGGGACTCTGGCTGGACAGGACGCACCCCTGTGTGGCCGCCAGCACCTTCACTGGGACTGAAGCATCGTCTGTGGTCCGCCCCTGTGCCTGGCACAATGGCGAAGAGGCCAGGCCTCGGAGCCAGAACGTCAGGTCTGCATCCCCCACCCCTCTAACTTGCTGTTTAACCTGGATGATTACTCCCCACGTGCAGCTTCCCCCTGGTCTGGTACAGACTCCGTGCCCTCATCATGGGGTGCAGGGAGGACTGATTTAATACAGATGGAGGGTTAGAATGATGTCTGGCGCAGAATACGTGCTCTGTAAGTGTTGGCCATCTTTATTTAGGCTTAAATCTCTGCTCCTCCATTCTCCTGTGTACATGGGAGTGATGATAGCTGTGCAGGTTGTGATGATCAAGGGAGTGAGTGTGTGCTGAGTGCTTAGTAAGTGCCTGCTCAGGGTGCCTGCTGTCTGTGTGCACTGGGACTTACGGCTGCTCGCGCTTCGCAGAGCCAGATGGGACTGGTCGCAGCCCTGGAGCCTTCCTGGGCGGCTGGGCGGCCGTGGGAAAGGAGGCGCCAGGGCAGGCCTCGGGTGCAAGTCTAGACAAGGTCAGGGGCACACAGGCTGCCATGGCTTCTCCTGGGCAGGGTGCTGGGAGACAGCATCCCTGCCTTTTGGCCCCTAAGCCAGGAGCTGAGCAAGGAGATCGGGGTGATGTCCCCTCAGGCCTACCCGCTCTGACTGGGCTGCTGCACAGCTGGACGGGCCCTTCCTCCTGCTGCTCCCACGAAGCTGGTGGCAGCAGTCATAGTTCTGCACTGAGACCTGACCACACCTTTCCCCACGTGGACTCTCCAGCGGCGTCTACCCGCTAGTCCTCGTTCCAGGCCCGGGGACTACTTTCTCAGGCCTGTGAAACTGGCTGCCCCTGCGCTCCAGCCCCACCCCCCGCCCACAGCGCTTCCCACCGGGCACTGCTACCTCCCCCAGCGCTGCACAGCTCCGTTAGCTAAACTCACGTGACTGGGTACACTCGTGCCCTGGGCTGGCAGTGCCATCTCAGTCTCTTCCCAGGTCCGCTCCCTCTTACCTCCCAGGTCAGGCTCCCAGCCCGGCGCTGA